GCGGCGGTGGGGAGCCCAGCGGTGAAGAGGGAACGGAGGAGAATGTTGGCGGCGAAGGCGTCTGGTTGGGGAAGGACGAAGAAGAGAGTGACGGCGAGGGGAAGGGAGGAGGGAAGTGAGGAGAGGGCGAGAAGGGTACGGCCGGCGGCGAAGGGGTTGAATAAGAGGCCGGAGACGACAAGCTGGGCGAGGATTTGGGTGAGAGCGGATGAGTTGTGCTGGAAGCGGTAGAAGTTGAGAGCGCGTAGAAGTGGGTGGCGAAGATTTACGGTCTGGGAAGATGGATGAGGAGAAAAATTGTTGTTTGCAAGCGTCGCAGGTGGGTGCAGTGCCGCCGGAGATGACTGGAGGCGAGAGAAGGGGGTTACTGTGTGGTTTTGGTGGCTAGAGGTTGCGTTCGAGATGAGGGGGACTGTGGTGGTCATTTGGTTGGGTTTGAGCGGCGCGGCGGCTTCCTCATTTTCAAGGGGACATCTGAACGCTTCCCGCTCGATAGAACATCATCCCAAGTTAGGCTTGGATTGACTAGCAGTGAACGTCAAATGTCGAACCTCCTGCAAATGAAGTCTTAAAATACTGTGTTTGCTTGAAGAATGCAAATAAAAACATGAAATTTCATATTTATGGTAAGGTATTTATTGATTTCTATTGTTACATGTTAGTAATATGTTAGTGACTGAACGAACAATCAGCTTGGTTCAATACATATTAGGAATTTCTATAAAGATTGCTGATGACTATAACAGAGAATGAGATAGAGCATGCACGTTCTGAGAAAAATAAACTAAATTGTTGGATTTGAATCTATCCTTGGATCACGCTTGAAGGGATTAGAGCGTTGGGAAATAATCTTGTGTGTTTATATAAATTTTGTGGGCATATATATACATACCACCCAATTTTTATGTATTTACATATCTAGCACCTAAACTTTACTTTCTTACATTTATAACATCCAAATCTTTGATAAATATTATTACTTTAACTTTTTAAAAGTGAAATACATGCATAGGAAAGCTGACGTGTATAAAAATTGAACTTTGGGTGTTAGATATGTAAATTCATAGGAATTGAGTGGTATATATCCAAATTGAACTTTGAGTGATATATATATATAGGGGAATTAACATACATAGCACCCAATTTTTATGCATTTATTTATCTCACACCTAAATTTTAATTTTAATATGATAAACCTCTTTTCCTATGTATAAAAAGATAGGAATAGTATAATCCAGTTTTTCATATATAGATTAGGTTGCTTAACATGTGAAAATCAAAATTTAAGCGAGAGATAAGTAAATGTATAAGAATTGTGTGTAAATTTCCGTTTTTTTTTTATCGTCAATCGCTATAAAAACAATCCTGGCCGCCCAAATTCGCAAAACAAACACTGGCACCATCGGGAATTCTGCTATGGGATTTGTTTCCGGCGCCGTGGACTCCATCATCCTGCTTTTCTCCGCGGTGCTGCTTCTGGCGGTGCCGCTGATCGACGCTCAAAGCTGCTTTCCTGCTTGGTTCTTCCATCCGGCGTTGCTCGATCTCAGGCGCTGGTACATCGACGAGTTCGGTGACTACTTGTTGAAAGAGAAGCCTCACTTCTTGATCGGCCTAACTTGGATTGAGATCGTCTTCATCTGGCCTCTCTCAATCGCCAATGTATATGGGATCCTTGCCCGCCGGCCCTGGGTCGCCACAACCTCACTCATGGTGGGAGTCTCTATCGCCACTTCTATGGTATGTGGCTGATTTTGTTTTTGATAGAAAGTCTTAATCTTGGTGGTGATTGAGTGTGCGAGAGGAGTGGTGGGGAAGTGAATTGCACCGGAAAGGGTAGAGGAATAGAAGGTGAAGATTTAGGGGTTTTCTTACTGGTTTGTTGTTGATGGTTGCTCCGTTGGGAAGATCTTATTTTGTTTGAGCGATTCTGTTGTAGGTTCTGTTTGGCTGCCGGTAGGATTTTGTAAAATAGGATTTAGTTTCTCCTCTGAGAGTTGAAATAACTAAACACATCAACAAAAAAACCTTCTTTTAGATCCAACAGCATTGTTGCATGATGAATGCATAGCAGATTTGAAAGAAGGTTTGCTGTTGATTTATAAAATTTACTCAAAGAGGAAATATGTTAAAAGGTACCAAATGCATGTCATGATATTTTGCTTCTAATTGTAAATATGTAATCTTCATTGCCTTAAGCCGTGAACTTATTGAAGGAAAAGTAGAGAAAATCTTATAACTATAAAGAGAGAGTGGATTTTGGAGCTCATAGAGCAAACTTTATCCATCGGGCCAATTGAAAAAGTAGTTTGGATCAAGGTAGACTATTGTTATCTTACTTTAGATTTGAATATCATCATCCTTTTTTTTTTAAATTTCAGTTTTTTGTTTGGTTGGATTTTAAAGGAAGTTAAATCTATGAAAACTTATAGGCTTTTGATCACGTAAATTTTTATGTAGTAGAATCGACTGTACTGATCATATTGACATATAAAATTAAATTTTTACCATATATTTGGTCTAATTTTAATGGGTATATTGAACTCAATTAAATTTTTTGTAGAACCAAAAAAATTTTTAAGTATTATTCCGGATATTGCATATGAATGATTTTGTGAATTATGATGGTCAAATTGTGTATATCAATTTTTCTTGCAACTTCTATTTGTTGTACTTTTAACTTTTGCAAATTATTGAACATGTTTGATGATATTCATCTGGGCTGAAATTGTTAATATCTCATTGGCTATGCATCAAAACTATATGTTCATGAAGTTAAAGAGGGGGGGGGGGGGGGGGGGGCGGTATTTAACTGGAGTGATAAAGGTCTATGCACTTATATAATTATTCATCTATATATTTTATATATTTGAAGATAAGTGAAGTGAAGATATAATAAATAAAGTATAAATATGAACACGTTGAGATATAAAACACATGTATAAGGGTCGAAGGAGAAAACTTATTAAATGTGCTAGATAAAGCAATGAATTATTATTTCATATTATCTTATTGTATTTTTTACATCATATTAAGATGACTATTTTTATTATTACTTGATATATACTTTTGTCTGACATTAGCTCTAATACTAAGTTTGTACTCGATAGATATAAGATGTAATATATTGAGATGTTTTTTTAGTTCACTTAAAGTTAATTTTACTATTATATGATGTATTTTGGCAAATATATTTATTTTTTACTTATGTGTATTAAAAAATTATAGTGAATTTTGAGTGGTCTATTGAGTTGTGGTTGTTTGCTTTTGTTTTATCCACGTGTTATTTTAGAAAGAAGGCAAGTCTTAAGTTGAGTAGAGGTTATTGATTACTATTGAGAAATTGACCTTAGGTATTTTGTTAGATCTACTAGTTTGACAGCCATTGTAATTTACATGTTTTATTGATATAAGAATTATACCATGATTGCTGTGTTTATTCTTGCGATTGTATTATTTATAATGTAATTTGAGTAGATTTTGGCTAATGTTTTATGATATTTGATGATATTAGTTGCTCTAATATTTTTGTGAAAATTGAAAAAAAATAAATTTTCTTTCAAATAGAAATTGAATAGTTAAATAACTGCTACGACCTTGTGACATTGTTAATCGCCTTGTTATAGCGATTTTCCTCAGGCTGGGATATGACACCCAATATATCTCCACAAGCTAATTTTGTTATCTATGATCTCTAAATGCAAGGAATGACATCTCTACATTTATGATGTTTGAAATGGAAATTCTTTATGATTTGATTGAACATGTGCTTCAATGTAATCGCGTAACGATGCTTTCTTCACATGGCTAAAAAATTCAAATAGTGACTACTTTAATTGCAATGTTGTGAAATTTAATCATGCTTAGAATATTTCATATTGAATGTAATGCAACACAATTTTATCAAAGTATCTTTGTGTAATGTGATTCCGTATTCCAATATGTTTAGGTTATTTTAAATATTGCATGCTCTTTCAGATACTGCTAATTATCTAAGAGGAATACTATTGTAACTAGTTCGCCAAATAATTGAAGAGTTTGAAGAAGAATATAAATTAATCAATCATATTTTCTCTTTTATAATTGGGAATGGAATTTTTTTTGGGAGGGAAGTACACATTTCAAAACCTATGCTCAGTAGATCATATATTGGTTAATAGTATGTTAAAGATGTATTTTCTTTATCATTATATTTTTATAATTTAATTTATGAGTTTTTTTTTTTTTATATAATTAAGTAAACAGTTGGAATATTTCTTTTGTGTGCTAGAGGAATTATGCATCCGTATGAGAACATCTCCAACTTAGCTTTATATTTTGCTTCATCATATCAACAATTGGCATGATTATTAGTGTACAATTTGTCATATTTTGCTAGAATTATTCGTGTGATGTGCGTATCCGATTGTAGATTTGCATTAGCAAATCTTAGATCCTAAGACAACCCGCATCACTTTGCCTTATGACATGTTATTTATTTCCTTCATAATTTATGAGCTTTTTTTGAAATAATTAAATATTTTGACATGGATGCCTTGTGTATTAGAGGACTTATGCATTTATTGTGGTGCAATGATTATTATTGCAGAATATCATCCATTTTTCTAGAATTATCTACATGATTTTATGCATCTAATTTTTGGTTTACATGAACAAATCCTAAGACATCCTGCTCACGTAGTATAATGACATACTGTTTTTATCATAAAACATTATACACCAACCATTGACATGCAGGCCTGTTTTTTCCCTCATTATTGTCTTTCGTAATTTAAACTATCAGCCTTTTTTTTTTTTTGTGGGGGCAACTACGCACAGACCCCCCCAAAACTTCCTATTTACAAATCAAGCACCCTCTTTCATCCATTTTTCAAATTCTCACTCAAATATTAAAATTAATGGTAAAACCCCAATCCATATCTTTCATTTTTATCAAATTCTCAATATCGTGTAACGATGCTTTCTTCACATGGCTAAAAAATTCAAATAGTGACTACTTTAATTGCAATGTTGTGAAATTTAATCATGCTTAGAATATTTCATATTGAATGTAATGCAACACAATTTTATCAAAGTATCTTTGTGTAATGTGATTCCGTATTCCAATATGTTTAGGTTATTTTAAATATTGCATGCTCTTTCAGATACAGCTAATTATCTAAGAGGAATACTATTGTAACTAGTTCGCCAAATAATTGAAGAGTTTGAAGAAGAAGATAAATTAATCAATCATATTTTCTCTTTTATAATTGGGAATGGAATTTTTTTTGGGAGGGAAGTACACATTTCAAAACCTATGCTCAGTAGATCATATATTGGTTAATAGTATGTTAAAGATGTATTTTCTTTATCATTATATTTTCATAATTTAATTTATGAGTTTTTTTTTTTATATAATTAAGTAAACAGTTGGAATATTTCTTTTGTGTGCTAGAGGAATTATGCATCCGTATGAGAACATCTCCAACTTAGCTTTATATTTTGCTTCATCATATCAACAATTGGCATGATTATTAGTGTACAATTTGTCATATTTTGCTAGAATTATTCGTGTGATGTGCGTATCCGATTGTAGATTTGCATTAGCAAATCTTAGATCCTAAGACAACCCGCATCACTTTGCCTTATGACATGTTATTTATTTCCTTCATAATTTATGAGCTTTTTTTGAAATAATTAAATATTTTGACATGGATGCCTTGTGTATTAGAGGACTTATGCATTTATTGTGGTGCAATGATTATTATTGCAGAATATCATCCATTTTTCTAGAATTATCTACATGATTTTATGCATCTAATTTTTGGTTTACATGAACAAATCCTAAGACATCCTGCTCACGTAGTATAATGACATACTGTTTTTATCATAAAACATTATACACCAACCATTGACATGCAGGCCTGTTTTTTCCCTCATTATTGTCTTTCGTAATTTAAACTATCAGCCTTTTTTTTTGTGGGGCAACTACGCACAGACCCCCCCAAAACTTTCTATTTACAAATCAAGCACCCTCTTTCATCCATTTTTCAAATTCTCACTCAAATATCAAAATTAATGGTAAAACCCCAATCCATATCTTTCATTTTTATCAAATTCTCAATAGTTTAATCGTGGCACGTGAGAATACATTGGTTTGGTAGTTCAAACAAATCACCTGGGTTGTTAATTTGTAAATATCAATGTTTTGGGTGGTTTGTATGTAATTTTCCCTTTTTTTTTTCTTTTGAAGCACTTGAGGAGCTTTTTGGAATGTTTATTCTGTGTAGTAGGAAAAAATTATTACATCCGGATTCCGGACGCAAAATTTATTTTTTTGACAACCATTGTAGTGGGCTCCACTCCACCCCTCTATAAAACTCACCCAACCATTGCATTACAGTGGGGCCCACTTGCCACGTGGTTCCGAATGCAAATTTGAGTCTGATCTCCTGATGCAATAATCGCTCGTGTGGTAGAGGAGTTATGCAACAACACAACGCACTTCTAAGCTAGTTCTCTCTTTTGCTTCAATCATATAACTTCTGGGATGATTTTTTTTTATATAGAATTTAGCACATTTCGCAAGAATTATCCGTTCATCATGAAGTCAATAGTAGTCGGTCTATTATAATCACCCCAAATATAGTAGACTCTAATAATCTGGATCTCATATTATAAATTTGTTACCATTATGGTGTTCTTATATCTTCAGGCTGCAGTGATGGCAGAGCTGCTGGGTTCTGATAAATCGCCAGACAAGCTGTTGCAGATGTACTGCCCATTTGTAGCTTTCTCAGTTCTGGCAATCCTCAAGGGACTCTTCCCCGGACCTCTCCCCAAAGTTACTAAGGCATCTCATGCACCCTCTGCTAGGAAGAAGAGAGCTTAGCCACTTTGATTATTGCTTGTATTCTTGAACTTAATTGAGTCTTTGGTTTGTTAAATTTGACTTTGTTTAGAGCCTTGTTCAATCATAATTGCTACTACTTTAATCTGTCATGTTGCTTCTAGCATCTAATTTATAACTCTTTTCTTTATCCACATACAATGCCGCCCAAATCTTCTACATACACACAGCATAATTTTTATATATTTACATATCTAACATCTAAAATTTCACTTTTACATGCATATATAACATTCAAATTCTTAACATCACAAAATATCATTATATGTATTGATTTATGACATCAAAATGTTATGAGTATAAATCTTAGATTTTTGATGTTAAATATGTAAATACATGAGAGCTGTATGGTATGTACGTAAAAAATTTCGCAAAAAATTATTTGATTTAACCGCACAAGCTGGGATTGAGGAATTTGTCATGCCAAATAATAAGACTATTCTATTAATGCAAGTCAATTTTATAATTTAAGTAAAATGCGGCCTGCATTTTTTGTCATTTAACGAGTGTTTTTTTTTTTCATTTTATTTTATAGTAAGAGTGTAATAAAATATTTATTAACTTGTATTTTTTTGCCACGTGTCGTTAACATTTATTATGTTGGCTTCAATATAGTTCCACAATCGATTGTTGTTTACTTGCTGTACTGAATCCTGATTCAACAGTGATTTTGGTTATATATATATATATATAT